GTCCGCGGCCGCACTCCGCGGGCCGCGGGCGGTCGCTCTCGCAGGCTCCAAAACAGGGCTGGGCTTCAAAAAAAGCGCCTGACCCACCCACTCCTTGCTCCATCGCTTTGGCGTCTCTGTGTGGGAACCAATTTGCCTTTTTAATTCGGGCTTTGCAAAGCATAGGATCTCCACAGGACGCTTCCCAACAGAAACAGCTGAAAATGAGGTTTAAATTGAAGAAAATTCAGTGTCTTGTTTTAACTGAGAGGTTCTAGAGCAGGCTAGCAGTAGGTGGTGGGTGATGCTCCTGGTTTTCCTTGTCCACGGCCCTCATAGCTGGAGAAGCTTTATATGGTCACTGTGGAAGTTTCTGAGGTCAGTAAATCGTGGGAGAACATGAATTTTGGATGGGAACTTCGTGAGAAGAACTGCAGATTCAATTTGAAAGGTAGAACTTGTGTTCTTTGTAATGGTAAATATCTGAAGATATTTACATAAAACGAAATCACTAAATTTAAAAAAACTCATTTAAAGATCATTCCCCTTTCCTTCAGGGGAAAGGTCTATATGTCTGTACGCAAAGCCTTGATTTCAAGTTTCTAACTGCCTTTTTTCTTTTAATATTACTTGTCTTGATGTTATTCAGTCTTGAATTTCAGCATGTCAGTTATTAAAATTTATTTTGGAGACCGATTTTTTTGGAGCGCTTTTCATCTTAAAACATCAACAATAAACTTGAAGAATTTGAGTCTGGTTTGATAAAAGTGTGATGAGATCATCAAACTAATTTCTCCATCTGGATGAATAGATTGGCAGATGACTTCTGTAACTGTGCATGATTCATCCCTCATTCAAAAGAGAAACTTTTTCTGCTCTAGTACTCTTACTGTGGCTTTTTTGCTTTGCATTTTACTAATTAAATGGCATATTTTTGGGGTAGAGGAGATACTATCAGGAAATTTTTTTTTTTTTGCAAGTCAGGTCATAAAATTGGTAATAGTGTTTTCTTAAGCGTCTACATTAAGTTTTTTTAACACGTTGGTTGTCTATTTTAAACCTAGGGCCAGAAAATGTTGCAGCTATCTTATTTGCCTATTAAATCAGTGATAGTTTTTGTGGAAATAAGTCCAACTGAAGCAGTTCTCAGTGAGTGGAAAGGACAGCTCTGTGCTGAAGAAATGCAGTCTTCAGAAGGAAAAAGTGCTGTGCAATAATTTGATGGTTAGAGCATGGGAAGGAAGGAGACTTGTGGAAGGAGGACTCTTACCATGAACAGTAGGATATAAGTGGTAGGTATGTGGAGTGGCAGGTGGGGACCAATGAGGAGAGTTTGAAGCAGTTGAAGACAACTTGTGTTGTCATGTCAAAAAGAAGAGAAGGAAGTGAGAGAAGGAAAACATCTGAGGCACTCCATAGAAAATTCTCCATTTCCTAATTAAGGATTCGGTGACTAAACTGTAAATGTGAATCTAGTGGCCCTAATCCCTTAATACGTCTTTGGGGAAGGGTTTTGGTAGTATTACTGATTTGCAGAGCAGCATACGTAAAGCCTGTCAGCATCATAGTTCATATAAAATTGTGTGCACGGTGACACTTGTCAAACCTGTTTCTCTATCAGGTATTTGCCAGATATTTTGAAAAACATATGTAGAGATAGCACTGTGAATGTGTTATTGACAAAGGTCGGTGTCACCAATGGCTCACGGATAACCTATGCCCAAAAGATCCTCTAACACTTCTACTGCAGAGGTTCTCAAACTATGGCGTGAAGGAAAATGGCATTCAAAAAGGTTGCGTGAGCATCTCCACGTCTCTCTATGTCCACAACTGAGAGCTACCATTGCTCCTAACAGCAGTGGCAATGCTAGGGAAGCAAACTAGATTTGGGAACCTTGTGCTAAGTTTACAAACTTCTTGATTGGCTATTTGACATAGCTTTCGTATTGTTTTGCAGTAAAGATACTATCTGTTGCTGTAGAAATATTTGTGAAGAAAATGTCTGCTCAGACCTACTGCAATACCTGTCATGCAGAAACTTGCCTGTAACTGCAAAGTGACAATTGTATAAAATTCTATGTTAGATTGCGTGTTTGAAAAATAAAAATATTGCTGCTATTTTACTGAGCTGAGTTGCTGTAGTAGTGATTATTTTGAGAACTTACTCAAGAGTCCAAGGGGTAATTGTGCTTTTTCTGTAGCTCACCCCTTTGTGCTAGTAATTTGCCAGCAGCAGAGCTAATTTGCCCATCTGTTCTAGCTTCATTTTGGCGGCATTTCAAATACGGATTTCCTTATCTTTTAGGATTGGTTTTTGAAATCATAGGGCCTATAGTTCTGGGTTCTGAAGTCCTTGGCTTTCTTAAAAGGTGAAAGGATTACCATACTACATACAGCATTCGTGCTAGTGAGCAATGTGTATCCTATATTATATTAACTTGTTCTGACAGCCTCAGACAATTTGGATACAAATTTGGATTGAGATTAGGTTTCTTTTTCAGTTTTTGGCCAAAGGTAACTTAATAAACAAGATAATAATCACTTATATTTCTGCCTAACTGGATCAGTGCTTTGTTTTAATAAGTCTTACTGTTTCATTCCAGAGTTAAAAAGGTTTGAGCCCTAGTTGGGATTGAGCATTAGTTTACTGTTGGGGTTGCTATGAACCGATCACTTTTTCATTCATTGGGTAAAAACTTGTAAATTAAGTGACTGGAGAGAAATTCTGCCATCCTAAGGTTCAAAGTCAATTGATTCCAACTGCCTGCTGATGGAAAGTTGCTACACTTTTGTCATGGTTTAACCCTAGCCAGCAGCTAGACACCACACAGCCGCTTGCTCACTCCCCCCCTCCGGCGGAATCAGGGAGAGAATCGGGAGAGTAAAAGTGAGAAAAGTCATGGGTTGAGATAAAGACAGTTTAATGATTGAAATAAAGTAAAATAGTACTACTACTAATAATAAAAGAATATACAAAGCAAGTGATGCACGATGCAATTGCTCACCACTCTCTGACCGATGCCCAGCCAGGCCCTGAGTGGCAATTGCTGCTTCCTGGACCATGCCTCCTAGTTTATATGCTGAGCATGATGTCATATGGTATGGAATACCCTGTTGGCCAGTTTGGGTCAGCTGTCCTGGCTGTGCCCCCTCCCAGCTTAATTGTGCATCTGGCAGGGCATGGGAAGCTGAGAAGTCCTTGACCAGTGTAAGCACTATTTAGCAACAATAAAACATTCGTGTGTTATCAACATTACTCTCATACTAAATCCAAAACACAGCACTATCCAGCTACTAGGAAGAAAATTAACGCTATCTCAGCCGAAACCAGGACAACTTTTGTTTCAGGAACCTAGATGCAGATCATCAAATTAGTGCTGTTCACGGGTTCCAGGTTTGTGTAGAGTGAGGTGAGTTACTGTTGCACCTTTGGAATTGCTTTAGGGCCATTTGATGTGCCGGTGTCTGCGCTGTGTGTTGTGTGCATGGAAGACCTGCCAATGTAGTGCTTTCCTAGAACAAGTGAAATCTCTTTGAGACTGATTATTTGACGTTATACAAAGGAAGAACAATAGTGCTATCCAATACGTTCTTGTTGATGAGACCATGAAAAGGAAGTAGATTCATTGGAGATGAACTTTCTCACAAATAGAAGGTTATTAATGCTGGATGCCTTGAGTGACAGCTGAAAAGGAACACTGAGAGTTATGCTTATGAGCAGCAGAGGAAATAACTGGAAATCAGTTTCTTAAATAATCCTGCTTAATAGTAAGTTTCTAAAATTGTTTTTCTGCTTGGAGGATTTTGGTGGCTTTTTTAGCAGTTCTGTGCATCTATTTCAGAAGACTCCCCTCTGGTTAAATGTTTCCAAAGTAAAATAAGTTTGGCCACATCAGGGCTGATCAACTGACTTACAAGATGACCTATGAAACAGAAGACTGGATTTTAAAATAACAGATAGGTAAATAACTAGGCAATGGCTTTATGCGGTATTTTGATTCCTTTAGATATTGGAATAAATTTGTGAATCTTGGACTATACTGTTAGATTGGTCCTAAGTGCTTAATGCTTCACTTCTAGCTGTGAATTCTTGTAGAAGATTGATAGCTCTGCCAACATTTGTCCACAATAGAAGATGGGTGGATTAATTTCAAGATGGAGGGTAAGTAAAATAATGTAACAACATAGTAATCTTTAGTCTAGAAGATGGGAGTATGCAGGACATGTTTCTTAATGCCTGTTGGTTGACTGTTAATGCTGGTTGAATGTTAGCACTAAACTTTTCCCATTAATATGTCACTTAAAAGTCCAATAGTGAGACATAATGACTAAAAATATTCTCTGCCAAATCCCAAAACTGTGAAATTGTGCGGCTGTCCTTTATCTCCTTTGCAGTACCAGGCCTGGCAGTGGTTTGGTTAGCTTATAAAAATACAGTTTTAACTCTTTCTGTAAATCGAAATAGTTTTCTGGTGCTTCATTGGGATAGATACAGCAGCATCTGTGACTTGAAAGCTTGGTGGCTATTTTAGGTCAAAATGGATAGTTCAGAATATCATTCTATATCTGTTTTGACAAATGTTTTGGTAGCTACTTACACCTATACAAGTCTTTCTTCCTAACTGTTTTTATTGGCTTGTATATTATTGAATCATGCACTGAGTTTATGAGGAAGAGGCATGAGGTTTTTGACTACTCTCTGGCAGGTGTGAGTTGTTCGAGTCTAGGTTTGCCTTTGCATATTATCAATTGATTTCAGAGCCTCCCATACAAAACTCCTTTAAAGGCAAAAGTTTAGGTGAAATGTCAGTTTTGTGTAATGGAGGGAAACTTGCTTTCATAGCGATGCAGTGTGGGCTATGGTTTTTGAATTTGTGGCCTGAAGGGTGGGGGGAAGATAGTGGCTTTATACTTCTCAGAAATTAGGGAAGATTCCTAGAAGGTGGGTTCCAAGTTGTTCCTAAGGGGAATTTTACTGGAGATGATAACACTTATTTGCAGTTGCTTTTAATTTATTTAGAGCATGTGTCTTTGTGTGGAATGAATAGTAATAAAAAGCTTAAGTTCTTAGGTTAGGGCTTCCTGTATATATTCCCTTTGTTTTGCCTATTCCTTCCACTCATCAATTCTCTCCTTGTTTTACTTCCCACCCACACATCCATTATTGCTGTACATGCATTATAGGTTTTCATCTTCTGTGGTGTAGGAGAGGAGCCTTCAGTTAATAGTAACACCAACTGTAAAATAGTGATTCATTACAGTTCCTCCTATTTGTCACTATTGAAGTAGGAAAACTTCTTACCTTTATGTAAATAGATAATATACTAATCTATTATGAATACGTCTTTTTGTTAGAAAACAGTTAATGTACAGTAATCCTCAAAATATTAACTTTTTTTTAGTGAGATTAACACTTTGTTCTTTCCCTTGTAAGCAGGCAAAGCCTTCCACTGTAGAAGTATTAGAAAAGATTGATAAGGTATGTATTTGCTTTTTGGTGTTTTGTTTGATTTTTGTTTAGAAATATGCATCCTTTTTGCTGGCCATGTATTTCTTTCACATTAGGTAAAATACTGTCATGGAATTTTAAATTATTTTGATAATTATTCCAGTTGGATCTACTAGAGATTCTGATTTTCAGATGGACTGCTACCTTTTTCCCCCTTACTATTAGTCACTTAGAAATAAACATACCATATAATACATAGTGAGAAACTACAGTTTAAATATTTATTTAGAGTCTGAAATGGGAATGAATGTGAAGTTGACTTGATTACATGATTTAATTATAACTAATGGTTAAACTCCCATGTAATGGAAAATGTCACTAATGCAAAGTTCCATTCATCAGGCTCATTAGAAAAGCTTCAATGTATGGTTTTAAGTGTAAAAGTTGTAACTGTAGCGGTAATAAGTAAGGTCAGGGGCAGAATAACTGAATAGATGGTTCAGTAATCAATTGTGATTTTTAGCCAGAATTTGTGACAGATGTCTGTACTCTATGGGGAAATTAACTGTTTTGAAATATGCTGTTGATATTTTTTGTTTTTCTTTTAATGAAAGTGAGTACTCCTGTTGTCGCTTGAAATACAGTCAAAATGGTAACACAGCAGAGCATTGCTTGATCACTTATTAATATGCCAAAAGCATCACTCAGATGTTCAGGATTTCACTGTTAATGTGAGGAAAATACTGAAATGAAAGCATGTGAAATGACAGTGAGTTTTTAGCAATTTCCCATGTTAGCAGAGAAGCGTTAGAAGCATTTGAAATTCCATAGGTGCCTGATGAAAGTTTTAGGATGCAAAGTATAGTTGGTAGTGATTTATGTGACTGTAAAGACTACCATTCATAAGATATTAGCATTTTTTATTTGTCCCAAGTATACTAACGCATTACAAATAGGAAAAAGTGCTGATTTGTAATATTTCTTCCCAATAGCGATGTGTTAATGCTAATACAGTGTAAGAGGCCCATATCATAACCTTAATAGTGTGATGTATTTATGCTATAAAGGTTATCTTCGGGCAAATACTGTCATTTATCAAAAAGCTGCTTGACTTTTCTAATCAAGTATCAAATTGATGTGGCTAATTTTAGCAAACACTTAAAGGCAGCTTAGTAAAACCACCAACTAATTTCACTAATAAGGCTGAACCCTATTTATTTACAGGAAATACAAACATTAGAAGAATTTAGAGAAAAAAATCAGAGGCTACAGAAACTATGGGTTGGAAGGCTGCTTCTCTACTCTTCACTTCTTTACCTTATCACCTGCTTAATTGTGTATTTATGGTGTCTTCCTGATGAATGGACAGCAAGGTTGATTATGACACTTCCATTTTTTGCATTTCCATTGATGTAAGTAAATACGCCTTTTTCTTCCCTAACTGCTGTCTCTTTGATAAAAGGAGATGGAAAATACATCTCAGCAGGGGTTTGGGTTTTCTTTTGACAACCCTTGAGTTGTCATAACTTGCTGAATTTTTTCTTTTAAAATGAATCCAAATAGTTAGGCAGACACTTTTTGAGGGAAATGTCTCTCATGGGTCTGGGTTTAGTGTAGAACTAAGTCTTACCATCAAAAGATGTTAGCATCTAAAGTTACTTGGCTTATCAAAATTATACTAGGGCTAGAGAGAGACCCATATCTGAACAGCTGCAAAGTAATGTAATACAAGCAGAAGAGCATTATCTTGGGTTTATTTCTACTGCTATTTGGAAAAGTAACACTACTATATGAAAGTGACCTAAGGTATGTCATCTGTATGTAAAATGCAGCATATAAAATTGGGGGAAAAAAATACAAGAATGAATGGAGAAACTTACTTTTACGTATTAGGTGACTGTTAACACAGAAGTGACTTGAAAGGTGGTCAGCCTAAATATGTTGAGCACTAGCTTTACATAATTAGCTCTGTTTCTGGAAAATCATTGACTGTTTTCGTCAATCAGAAAATATCCTAACATCATTGGATGTGAATAGGAGAAAGCGTTGTCTACATTTTTGTTCCACTGAGCTGATTGGCTGCTCATCCTCATAAATGGCTTTTATTTTCTAAGAAAACTACTTTTCCAAAAATAACAAAATGGGCTCCCACCTCACTAAACAGCTGCTTCCCTGCCTCCCCTTCCCCCAGACCATTAAGGAGGAGAAGCAGCCTACTGAGCATCTTTCCTACTGATGGGGAGCACAGTGCATTTACTAATTTGCCGAAGCGAACATCATAAATACTGTCCATATTTGTACAGCATCTTTGTATGAAAACATGACTTGTCAGTGCCCTAGCTTTAGACTTGAAAGGCAAAGTCCAATGTAAATATTTAAGGCTTTGCAAGTTTGATTAGTGTGGGTCAGCATAACATAATATGCAAAAAAAATACTTGAAGATACTTTTTGTATGTCGTACTGTGTTATGCATAATGTACTAACATGCTGCTGTTATGGAATCCTGTGGAGAAGATACATGGGCAGCAATGTCTTGACTGGAAAGGATGAATATAGAAGTTAAAGCTCAAATTAATCTTTGGCAGCAATATGAATTTATTTTATTCTTCAGGACAAGGATTTGAAAGTCTTTGTTAGTATGCGAGGCTTGCTCATGCTAACAGGGAAGACTGGTAGAAGAGGAAGTATTACCAGCCTCCCTTCACTTAGGTGTGTTAGGATTAGTGTAGAAATGAAAACTTCTATTACTGAAGGTGATGGCTTCTAGTGCTGTGGTGTGAATTTTCACATTGGATTTTTATTCTCTAGTTTGTCTTCCAATTCTTGTTTGTTTCTTTGTTTCTTTTTTTTTTTGAATGATGGGTTTCTTTAAAATTCTGAATTAGATATTGGCTTACTAACATGTACAATTAGACTGTTGTTCTCTTATGACTTGCAACTGTTTATCTGATTTTTCTCTTAAGCTATTCCCCTTCAGCTTTTTTTGGCAGATATGAATGGCAAACAACTGCCAGCTTGTCTTTGTTCTCGGTCAAGAGGTGACTCCATGCTGAATGCCTGGTGCCACCCAGTAATAGCTCTAGAGATTTTTCAGCCCAAATCAAACTGGAATATGTCTGCCTTTTCCAGCTTGCAGTCAGTCACCAACTTATTTCTGCCTTAGGTCATTCCCTCAGGGTCTCAGCAAGTTACTGATGCTGGTAGAGTGAGTTAAGTTCTAGGAATATATAGCAGCATTAATTTTAAATGTATATTGAAATATCTGAAAAGTTGAAGAAATATATTAGAAGGATGCTCTTCTTGAAATGATTTTTGTTTGAATTAGATTGTTTCATCTTGCATGTTCTGATTTTCAGAGAAATATGTTTTTATTTTGTAAAATTGGTCTGAAATGATCTGCTATTAAACTTTCACCTCAAAGTTCTTAAAGAGGAAATGTTTTTTATTTCATGAAGTCCTACCATATGTCTATTAGCTTAGAATACAGCTTTAGATAGAAGACTTTAAGTGTACAGTAAAAAAGAAATAATGCTTTTGCCTGTGTAGCATAGTCTTTAAGGCAATTCAAACCGTGTAAAACATTTATTTCTTTTGATGTTTTATGAAGAGACACATCTTGCATTGTATAAGCAGGCAAAGTCATCCGTATTCTTAGAGTAGTTATTACAGCACACCTTTGAAAGTGGAGTAGAGTTAAACTTCTTTCTCTGTTTCTCTGACCTTGGATAGGTTACTCTTGCATTCCAGTTGTCTTGTCTGACTTACCTAACTCGGGTTGTGTTAATACTTGAAAGCATTTTGAACTGGGCAGCCATTATAGAAATGCAAAAGATGTTCTTATGAATGAAGTTGAAACTCTGTTTGAAATCTTATAGCCTTTTGCCTGCTTTCTTACGCTAGCTGTTATTCAGAGAACCTTTCTAGCCTTTAAGAATTTTTTTTTTTTCTTAAATGAAACATTGCTACTTTAGGCTTTATTATATAGTGCTTGGCACTAGGAGGGTTTTGGATAAGATGCTTGGAAGGGCTTGAAGTATGAGATTTGCCACTTGGCTTAGGCCGAATAACTTGCCAGGAGAAGTGTCAACTTAATAATTATAAGCAATTCTAAGCTTTAAAACAAATGAAGTCCTGATGATTACAGAGATCTTTCAAATGTAAAATGATCATAGATCAGTTTAACTTTATCTTGAGCACAGATAAACTGCCTCATTGTTTGAGCTAAGTCAGCTGAAACGCTGCAGAAACTGAGTGATTCAGAGCTCTGTAAAATCGCCAGGAGTCAGGTCAGTTAACTCTGCTTGGGAGAGCATTTGTACAATAGCTGTATCTCATGGTTTTCATTGGTATTGAATTCTTCCCACAAAGCTCCCTGGTCTTAATTTTGGGCCTTAGCTGGTAAGCTTGGTTTTCTGGATACCATGCATCATAAATCTATCGAATAAGAAGTGATGACTAGGTAATTTTCAGCTAGCTGCATGTACCTTGATTTTAAAATGTTCCCACTGAACATTTTAGCAAGCGATGATGTTACTTGCTGCTGCTTCCTTAGTATTTCTACCTGTAGTAATACTTGGTTAAATTTTAATAGACAGGAGGATTTTATTTAGATCAATGTTGATGTCTTGTTGACAAGATACTAATTTAATTTTTAGTTTTCTGTATAAATATTGTTTGAAGATTTCTGTTCTTTGTATTTGCAAAGTTAAATCTCCTCTGGTAAGTCTTTTGCATTAACTAACCTGTTTGCTAAATGATTTCAGAAATGGTTACTGTAAAATATTTTAATTAATATAATTCTTCTTTCTGTTTTAAAGAATCTGGTTTATAAGAACACTGCTCATTTTTTTCTTTTCCAAACGGACAGAAAGGAATAGTAAGTATTTCTTCTGTCTTTTTTTAGAATATGGACCTAGTTGGGAATGATGCTTGCTATGAAAATGTAAATATTTTAGTAATTTGGCTTCCAGGAAAAGAAGAGTAGCCTTTTGGTTGATGCTGAAATGGGTAGCATTAGCTAAACTGTCATTTCTACCACACGGTTCTTGAAAGAACGGCAAGGGAACTGCTTAATCTTTAACTTCGCTTACAAAATTGTGGTAACTTTCTCCTGTCTTTGCATGCTTCAAAGTGTAATGGAGTAAAATGTAGTGTAGAAGCAGGAGTGAGGGAAAGGAAATATAAACAATAGTAGTAGTTCCCTTAATACTTCCAAGTATTCCAGCAGTCTTAATCTGTTACCTTTATATATAAGAGAAGAGATTTATAGCAGATGTGTTTAATTTATTTGTCAAGATAGCTTTTCTCTCCCAAGTTCTCGAAAGCATGCTTATGTGTTCCTGAGTGGAAAAGGGATAAGCAGGTGGTTTTGTGCTGTTTTGAGAGCTAAGGAAAACTGGGAGTTGTGTAAAGAAAAAAAAAAAGTAATTCAGGTGTTCAAATATATATAAAAAATTATTAAAGAACATGCAGATTCATTCTAATGCAAAGTTTAAAAACTGCATCTGTGGCACTTGTCTGCAGTAGTTAGAATTCATTTGAGACTTTCTTTGAAAGTAGTCCAGCCTGTAACAATATCTCATGCTGATGTGAGCAATAATACAGAAAAACCTCAGTGTTGCACTATGTTTTATGACTTGCAGAACAACATGATGTATTTAATTTGTGACAGCTTACGAGTTAAACATGACTTTTGAAATTTTTCTTAAACTTAATGTTTGCATTTGATATGCAAGCGTAGGACATACATTTTTATGTAGAAATAAAATTGTCCATATATTCTGTGGTGCTGTGTGATTCATTTCTAAGGCGAATATATATTTGCATTTCATGGCTGGATAAGAAAAACAAATGTATGTATGTTTTTCTAGTTTGCTTAAATGTCTTTATTGTTATTTTTAGCATACAAGCAAGTCTAGTGCTTTTGTTGAACTTGTGTATAAAGGGTTTCAGTAGATGTTAGAACATGCCAAAAGGAATTATTTCTGCATTGTTCCAGAGATCGGGTAAAAATGAAGCGTTTTACCTCAAAAATACAAGTCCTGTATTTGGAAAAGATAAATCAAATGCGCAGTGCAAGAGTTACAGCGGTAAAGCAGGAGAAAATGTAGCTGAGAGAGCAAACTGGCAACTGAGTGGCTCAAAGCTAGCCTTTTATTCTGGGATAAGTTAATATAACACATTGAGTCACTGGAGATGGTTATTTAATACTATAAAGCTCTATGCTGGAAAACCAGCATACACCAGTTTTGGGAACCATGCTCTGAATGAGGAAAATTCCTAGTGAAACACTAGGAAAGGTGATGTAGAGAGATTACAGAATTTCGTTTTTTAAGACTGGTCAGGCAAACAACTGTTGAGGAAGATTTAGGCTGATCTGTCCCAAAGTGTGGGGAAAATAAATGAGGTATCTTGCAGGTATTGACTTCTCTAGTATGATTTTTTTTTTTTTCCTGTAGGTTTAATTAAGATGAGATATATTGGTTTCTTGAGAGTACTTTGCAGTAATTGCCATTTGGCCAAGTTTGAAGGGGCAGGTGTGTCATGGGGTTCTTGTTGAACACAGGAGGTAAAGTGATCAGAAACAAACACCCACACTTTCAGCTGATTGCATTGCTTTGTGGGAAGCTATGCTTGGAGATGTTCTAGGCATTTCTGTACCAAAAGCAGCTTCTGTTTCTTGAGTAACTGTTAACAGCCGACAGTATTATGCTATTTGTTTGGCTGCATGATACCATACTGCCTTGCAGTGCATTTCAATGTGTTAATCTGTGTGGGGCTACATGAAAGGCTGTGTTCTAATATAAATGTAAAATTTGGTGGAGGGAGGTACCTTATTAATTTGAAGATGCACAATTCCTGGAATTGTCTATCTTCTGTGGTCCAGCCCAGTGCTAAATACGGTCTTGTTCCGTGTCCTATTTGTCTTAACTAATAAGGGAATGTTGTAGTTACCCTTTCATTGCATAGACTTTCAAATATGTACATGCCCAGTTTTAGTATTTTGTACACTTAATAAAGTGGTTTATTCTATCAAAATGGTTTTCTACATTCTGGAAAAGTTCAAGTAATTATGTGTTCCCTTAATTTCAAGTAACAGTGATGTTCCTGAAGTAACTTTAAAAAGTGCATATAGCATGCTTAAATATATATTAAAAAAGATACAAAAAAGTGTGTATTTGGTTTGGTGGGTTTTGTTTTTGTTTCTTGTAGTTCCATGAAGCTTTTTCTTTTTTTGAAAACTGAAAAATGGGTAAAAATAGCTGTATCTTACAGGAAGTGAACTGTTGGTGTCCAGTAGAGCTGAGAAGGGGAAAAAATTTTGAAGTTTTTTGTTAAAACTCTTCTTGCTGTGAAGGAGGTAGTAGAAAATGGATTTATCAAGAGAATATTTTCTGTATTAGGTGATGGTTTATTACAGTGAGTTTTCCATGAGTGCCAAGCTGCAAGCATTGACTTAGAGGAAAATCCCACGTGCATTTAACCTTTCTTCTTTCCCTTCCTTTTAGAGAGGTTAGGTGCTGTGCCTACTAGTTGTAACAGAGTCTCGTAATATTTAGTAGTAAAATGACTTTCTGGTAGCTTTTCTTACAAAACTGGGGGTTTTGCTGTAGTCTGAAAGTATTGAAAGGGTGAAATAGATGGAGATTTGAAGCTCAGAATTGACCTGGCATTTGAAACTAGCATGTGTTAAGAGGCTTACGTGAAATACTGAAGACAGTAAATCTGGTACTCAAATAGATATAGTAATACTTAGACCTCAAGCTTTTTTTTCTGTAGTTTGACTCATGAGATTAAGTGTATTTGGTCCATTGTTGTACCAGTTTTAACGTAGGTCAGAGCAGGGCACTGGCTAGAATTGGTTTGCTTAATGACGAAATGGTACATAAAACTTTTTAATAGTTATAACTGTAAGGTGATAACAGTGGGCTATAATTCATAAGCAGTTTCAGGATTTAAAATGATCTATTTTCACGTAAAAACTTTAGTTATTTTATGCAAAGTTTACTGATGTTGTAGGGTTGGTAGTGGTCAGGGCATAGTTTTTCCTGATCTCACAGGGCAAAGTCAATGTTTAGAGTGTGCTGAAATTATCTCTTACTTATATTTGAAAACTAATGTATGATGTCCTTCTTTTAGATGATGCACTGGAAGATTTAAAATCTCAAAAGAAAAAAATAGTAAGTAAAACTTCAAGAAAAGCTAGTTGTATGGTGCACTAAGGTGTTTCTGCATCTCTACAAGTTGAGTTTGATTGTGATATATGGGTGAAGAGCGGCGGGAGGGAGGTGAAACTATTACCATTCCTCTGTTTTCATACATCTTCTAGTACCTCACAAGGTTTTCCTTACCCCAAAATTACAAAGGACTGCTTGCATACGAGAGTAAATTGTGTCCTTGTAGTTTAAATTAAACCTACTGTTTTAGTGTTGCTAGATCTATGTAAAGTGATTCCTTTTTGTCAGAAAATGAAAATGTATGCTTTAACCTACTCATTGCTGACTGCTTCTTTTACTTTAGGATTATAAAAAGTATTAGATGTTGCACTGATTTAAGATCATAGAATGCAACTATATCTTTAATAGTTACTCTGTTACTTAATGTTTTGTTCATAAATAGCAAAAAGGACTTCCATCTTGTCTGGATTCACCTTTTCATCAAGTAACAGATTATTGTTTATATCTTAAATGCATCACCACTTATTTCCCATCTTCCTCCATCTTATTGTTGTACTACATATTTCTTCCATTACATTCTTTCCTCTAAAAAATTTATCTTGTCATGTATCAATCCTATCAGTTGTCTTGAGGTCTGAGCTGTGTGGATGAGTTAACAGTATAAAACTGGTTATAGCAGGTATTTGCTTCAACTGGATCAACACTTAATCTCAGTAGGACAAATTTAGGATGGAAAAGATTCCAAGTCTTGGATAACTTGCATTCTTTGCGAAGTTTGTAACACTGAAAGCTGTTTCTTCTCTACTTAATCATTCCATAAGGAAGTTGTCTGTTACTTATGTTGTTGGCTTCATCTCCTGCCTTGCAAGGCAAAACTTAAAAACGACCATCAAAACACAAAAAACCCCCCAACCAACCAAAAACCAAACACCACCACCACTCCCCAACAAAACAGCCCCTTCTCCCCCAAAAAACTCCAAAAGTTGTATTATGAGGCTTTATTGTTAATGAGTTTCTCAAAGTGTTTACCTCATGCCTTCTGGATTTTGCCATGGTAGCTAAATTAATAGAAAACCCACAACAAAGCTACCAAAAAGGAGTCGGGAAGAGTCTGCTATTATATGGCCTTCATAGGGGAAACAGATTTCACTGATCTTCCACTCTGTTTTTTATCACTTTTAAAATGTAGATGTAAAAATGATAACCTGTAACCTAATTATGTCATTGTCCTTTGGTAAAGAGGATTTGCCAATATTTATATCTGCTAATCTTCATATTAAGGAATTTATTAAATGGAAGTGTCCTTTGGTTGGAGAGGTGATAAAATGGGGTTGGAGAGGGTTACATTTTCTGAGAATGAAATAAATGAGTATGACAACTATGTTTTTAATTTGATTTTATGAAAACTGCTTAACTGAAGTTATTTAATCTCTTCAATTTACATAGTCATTGGGTAGCTTTGGAGGGAAAGTTCTTGGAACAGAAAAAGCACAATGGAGAACAAAACAGCTCTTGGGAGTCTTAAATCTAAAGCCTTCATTTCAGTTTAAGTTTATTTTTCTGTAATCATGAAAATATTCATATTTATTCTAGAAGAACTAGTAGTGCTGAATTTTTGTGTGAGAGAAGCACTTCTTAGAGAAAAGACTTTGAATAAAAGATTAATCAGGAAAAAGCTGGTTTATAAAAGGGAGAGTTTTTTACTTTGGGAATTGATGCTGTTGAAACAAGATGTAAATGTGTATTTTGCATATGAAAAAAATCAAAAACATTGTAGAAAAGCAGGCAGTAGTTAAAAATTAAAAAACTGCAGGAATACTTTGTGAACAACACAGAAATTATAGTGTAACTGTGGAGAGTTTAAACCTGGAAATATAAATTGGCACTAGTATATATGCATATCAAGCTTTAGTCATGAAAGGCAAACTTCTAAATAGGATTAGTAAAACAGAGTTCTGGGAAGTCCAATAATCTATAACTCAGCTAGTTTTCGATTTGAGGGGAATAAAAAGTCCATGATTACCTCCTGATTTTGTGGGTGCCTGGTTCCTAGAAAGGAACCAGAAGACTTATTGCAACCTCTTGAATCAGCACGGTGTTGGTATTTTTTACTCATAAGATTGACTCAGGAGTTTCATCATAATTTAAAGGTATTAAATTAAGCATTAAAATTAGATCATCATACATGAAACCTAGCATGTTGAAATGAGCTGGAAGTGGATGCAGGTAATGAGACAGAGTATAATTTGTATTTTAGACAAAAACACTCATAAAATTGCATTCTGTAATATTGGGTTTGATAATACTCAGATTTGGTTTTATTTTGGATTAACTTCCTTAGGAATATCTGTGGCTGTGAATAACTGTAGCAACACCTACTTTTTAGTAAAACAAAACAAAAATCTTTACCAAGTAAAATAATGGGAAGGGGAGGGATTTTTTTTCCCTGTTGGATTCTGATTTGCTACTGAGTTTGCAAATAGAATTAGTTACTAAGGTATTTACATTGTGATCCTCAAAGTATGTGGGATAAGTAAATTATGTATTTCCTATTTATTTGTAATGCAAATTGTTGTCTCGGCACTGTCAGCCTGTCACAAGAGCTATGGTTTTTCACTTCATTGCAGCTCAGCTACCCGATTGCTGGAGAGATCTTATATTGAAGACAATTGTCCTTTTGAAAAATGTTACAGTACTTGTGTTTTACAGACATGTGGTCAACGTTTTCCCTAGTGCCATTACTTAAATGCTGAAGGGTACCTATAACAGAGTAAGCTCCTCATCTACTAGATAAAATGCCCTGGTAGCTGTGCAATGAGCTGCTCAGTAGAACTTCAGTTCTGTTCAAAGGCTTCAGTCTTTGGTGGCATAATCACATGGATATTCATGTGGGTAAAATACCTGACAAACACAAATACAGATATTTCATCTGGAAATGCCCATTAATATTGTCTGTCCTGTACTTTGACTCAAAGTTTGCATAATACTTGTTACAGAACTGACTCTCTACTTTTTTCCTAGTGAATGCTTTAAAACACGTTGAGTATTTCTTTATGGATTGGGGATAGGGATTAAGTTCATTAGCTGTAATTAAGGCACTACTTCTAGATACAACTTTTTTCCCCTCCTTGTTTGTAAGGGATACTCTGTGTTCGTGATTGTGTGGCTGCAATTTTGGCCTTAGAGTTCTCAGTTAATGAGGATGTCAGCCCTTAAGCTTCAGTGTGTATGGATGAGCAAGTTCAGAGGGTTAAGCATATTAAAGCAAGGGCACAGGACATGTATTAAGCTGCTACAAGTGGGAATTAGTGGAGACTTTACCTGGAGCAGCAGTCTTAAAGATGGGATAATTCTTAGCCTGAGGACAGAGTTGTGAAGATAGTAATTACTTTGCTAATGTTAGAATTAAACTTTGCTGAAGTTTGCTTAGCTATTCTGTTACAGTAGGCTGAGTGTAATATTAGACTTGGACAGACTTCCTAGCCATTTCAGGTAAGAATTTAGAAAGTTGCATCTGTTAATTTTCCAAGAAAAAAAAAAAGGAAGTCTGATTTCAAGGCTGCCTTGGAGTTATGTTAATAATGGAAAAAAAAATGCAGCATATGAATTTTGTTATTTAAAATAACTACTGTTTAATGAACTTATGCCTTCAGCCTTCCAGGCATAGAAAACTATGGGTATTTTGATAACCTTTGGTATGTGACAAAAACTCTACTGGGAGTTGATTATCATGTGAGCCCAGTCTTATCTACCCAATATATGCTAGAGTACTGCAAATGTGCAACTGAAAGCTCAAAATAGGGTTAAAAATCATATTTACTGATGAATGATCAAATGAGGTATTTCTTTCATGCATTGTTCACATAAAACAGTTACTTTGGTTGTTTTACTGTTTGCATGGATCTATCCAGAGTACACTTGATTATTGTGGCTTAAATGATTTATTTCCTATTTTAAGGAAACTTTTGCTATGTGTACTTGCATATCATACATGGTAGACTGAAATGAATCTTGTGGCTTTGTGTGAACATAAAGAAATACCTCTCCATAGTTGGGTTTGACATACCAAGTAATTCAATTTAAGAACTCATGTGGCAGTATGGCAAATAAGTAGTTTGCACCGTGTCAATACTTCAGACTTCCAGTTGCTAAATCACATTTACAAGAAGCTTAAAATACATTACTCTTGTTACTTTTCAATATGAGCAACTGATGTCGTTGCCACAGGAATTCTGTTTGGTTGCCAGTTGGAAAGGAGGCCATCCATACAATTATTCATAGGAGAGAATGTGGTACATGACCATGCTTCTTTATTAAGATGTGATTAATTCCATGAAATAAGTTTGAAAAATCCGTGATTAGGCTGGTATTAACTTTCATAGAGACTTCACTTGTGATCCTGGTTACTCAGCATTTAAGCTTGATAATAATAGACTATGAATTAGCCCTTGGCAGAAAGTAGAAAATGTTTTTGTGGGAAGAGTTCTGGATCTCAGAGAAGAGTATATTATGGAAAAAGAGCAGGAGGTGTCGAGCAATTTGCTGTGTTAGCAAGCCAGTGCTCAGCACTAGGTTAACCTTTCCAAGATTATGCTTCAGGATGGCGAATAATCCAGAAGTCGGTATGTTAATTCGCATTTATAACGAGCTTGCTGTGGCAGTGCACAAGCCAGTTTCCTCTGCTATGCAAACGTAGAGATAGTATTTAAATTTTACACAGGCCCTTATTTCCTTCTAGTAATTATACTGATTTGCTCAAAGAGTAAGTAAACTTTGACCTGTTTGATTTCTTATTTGGTATTGTCAGCCAAATTTCAGATGATTTTAGAAAAATACATCCTAGAAGTGAAACCATGAGAACTGTAAGTGTGTTTATAGAAATCTTGAAAATTTCTGCACATTTTCAAGAAATTTGTAGAGAGTCAGTTGCGAAACTGAATTCTTGTTCAGATTCAGCTTCACTAGAATTATAAAGCTACATGTGAATTTCAAAATATGAAGAGTAACTTGTTGAATTATCCAATAACTACAAGAATAACTTTGACATCTGAATCTTGTGATGAGAGCTAAATTTTTCCATTTCAAAATAATGTTACTGTTTTTGCAAAACTTATATATCCACAAATAACTGCCATCCTATGTAGTACTGCTATAGCAAGAAGTGCGTTGGATAAGGAAAGTTGTCAAGTGATGGTGGAGCATTCTGTTTTTTCTCTTCCTAAAGGTCACTTTGTCCTGCAGAAGATTATTTCTCATTTTCCTATGTGGCTATAAAGACAATTGCATGCATTATGTGTTCATTGACGTAAAGTGACTAGGGGTTTTTTATTTTGATTTGGGGGCCAGATACTGACACTGACTGTTAACACTTCCCCACTTTGCAGCTTCACCTCGCTAATCTTACCCCTTCATATAAAGGTCTGCCTTATGGTTTTCACTTTTATAAGCAATAAATACTTTATTTTTCCTATTAGACCCTTAATTCTGATCTTATTGCAGTGTGTGGCATTTGTTTTACGAAGTTAGTGGGTTAATTTCTGAAATACAAGTTTAGGAAATTGATTTTTACTTTCCTCTTCGCTCCCTTTTGTTTCAACAGTCCTTAATTAACAGCCTGGGTAGTATTCCTTGCCTTAAACTTCTGGTACTGTGTGTGTAGGAGTCAGCTGTTAAATGGATACTGTGTATCCATTAAATTGAGTGAATTTTATTTAGCTTCTGTGGTCTATTTGTAATTCTGAGGTCTGCCTAAAGGTAAAACCCCCTACAAGGTCTGTATACGCAGAATGGCTGAAACTTTAGTTTCTCACTAGGTAAACAATGGTGTAAAAGTCATGTTAACGTGCACCATTTGTTATTTTAGCAGTGATAAATGGGTTTGAGAGAACTTAATTTTTTGACCACTGACCTTTTCAGTTTTGCAGTTTATGCCAACAGCAAACTTAAGAACAAAGAAACCCCCACTTTTAGCTGAACGTGGCCATTAGTCAGCACATCTAGGAGAAAAGGTCTGCTTAAGATACTGTAAAATGCATTATAATTTCTATACATATTAGCTATTTGTCATAACTTCAACTCTCTCTGTTTTAAAGTTAAGCTGCTTCTGATGTTCGCTGTTAACCACTAAAATGATACTTTACTAGTGATTACTTTTTTAATTAAGCCCATGTATTAGCTATAAAGCCACTTGAGTGCATTGTAAATAAAACGCTGTAATAATTAAGTGCTTTAATTACACTCCCTAAAGTATGCATAGTTCTCAGTAAATTTTTTATTTATATTCTGAACATGTTCCCTTTTTTCTGAAAAGCGGTTTGGATCACTGTAGAGATGGAGATCCAGCCTTTAAAGTCATTTGAGCAAATTCCATGGCTGTTCTCTAGTTAGTGAGTTTTCACAGCATTTGCAGCAAGCTAATTGCTTCTGCTAATAAATAATCTAAAATCGATGCTGACAGCAGTTAATTGGCACAGAGACTTTATTCTGTAAAGCATTTGGCTAACGACCTCCCTTAAATTAATAGCATTAAGTGCTATGAGGAAATAAATCTAAGGAATTGCCTGTCATTCGCTTGTCATGTCTAATAACTTCCAATAATGATGGCTGATAGATTTTTGCACATTCCATTATTGAAGTTGGTGCATGTAATTATTCTCCTCATTATATGTAAACAATTAGCAATACTTGGTGTTTCCTTGCAATAAAGCTGTTAAATACAAGTAGTCCATTAGAGTTTAGAAACTATTTTTGAAAGCAAAATTTCATTTCTATTGGATACAGCAAATCTGCAGGTATCTGAACATGCTACTGGTTCATTGGACTGAGCTTCACCTTTTGGTAACATTAATAAGTTGCTTGTAAATGGGAGTATATGGGGGGGAAAATAATTTGAAGAATTCTGTATTGACGTGTGGAACCTTTTGTTTCCAGCTTGAGGAAGTAATGGAGAAGGAAACATACAAGACTGCTAAATTAATCCTTGAAAGGTTTGATCCAGAATCAAGTGCAAAGGTAAGAATCTTGGTATTGATACTGATTTAATATGAAAGGTATTATGGAGCCGAACATTCAGATAATGTTATTTATAATTAATTGGCAGGAGGCTGAACTACCATCTGCTGGAACATCTGCAAGCCCAAGACCTGGACAAGGTAATAGCCCTGGACAAGGTAAAATGGCTGCTCTTTAGCATAGATACTTGTCTTTCATAGCAATTTCCACTCTAGAAGTCTATGACAACGTTTGTAGATCAATTGACCTTTATTTAGGGTTAATAGACTGTTTATTAGACTATGCCCATTACTGTTCTGTATTTTTCAGACAAGGGATCTATTACTAAAGGTTGATGCTTTTAGACAGCAGGATGTTTAATGCTGCTTGATGCTAAAGCAGAGAGAAAATTAACTTCTTGTGGCATACTTGCAATTTTTCTAGAATACTAAGGTGCTTTCAAATCTTATGAAATGTTCATTGACTTAGCTTTTAAATTCTGTTTCTATTTCTGGCTAGTTAGACCTTTCCTGATGGAGTGCTTTAACTACTTTTGTATGGTGGATGGAGAGATTCCACAAAGCTAGTGCAGAAATCAGATACTTTCTAGATGCAAAGAATGGACAGTTCTTCACTAGTTTATGATGTTCCATTTAAAGGTGCTATTGAATAAAATAATAAAAGAAACAAAAAACTTGCATGCGTTTCAAGGAAGCCTTGTTTGTAGATTGCACACACAGGTTTCAGGACTGAAAAGATCTCTCCCCTACACTCTCCCAGTAGAATGTTTGCATTAAAAATGTGGACTAAAATTAAAAAAAAAAGATATTTATGCAAACAAACTACAGTTAAGTTTTTCTTAGTCGAGTATAATACGCTGTAGTTAAACTGAAAATGCTAGTATTAACACAGTATAAAGGGAATCTTGTATTATAATACTGAAGATACCTACAAGGATCTGTCTCAAAGTGTGAGTACTAATTTGCTGTTATAACCAACTCAGACCTGTAGGGGCTGGTGCTCCAAATAAACTGCAGAATGTGATGTGCGTAATTTTCCATAAAACAGATTGCTTTAGAGCATATGTTAGAATTGTCAACTTTGTGACTAATTCTTGTGAGTAACCGAACTTCTATTTGTCTCATTTTTCACTCTTGGAGTGCTGGTTTTGATGGGTACAGAGCACCTGGATTTACTAACAAAGGTGGTTATAAGCTGCATGGTCAAATCCACTGTTTTGTTTTTCTTGCTTAGCTTCAAATTGTCATGAAAATATTTTTAGCCCATCCTTACTTGTTGACATTGACAGTGAGTAGTTGCAGGGCAGTACGATAGCAGTAAAGCTTTTATCTCTTCTGGTGTCCTAGGCACAGCAGCTTTTTCTCAAGTTTGCTCCTTACCTGTCTCTCCCATCATTCCATTTCTGCGGCATTCATAGTTTTTTAAGGCTGAAGGGCCATTCTGACACCCTGTTCTGTTCGCTGTCTTAATACAGCTCCGGGGTGGTTGCCAAGAATTTTCTGTTATACCTGTAATGTTTAGGTAGTCTGGTTTGTTTGTTGGGTTTTTTTTGTTATGTTGTTTTTTTTTTTTTTTTAAACTTGATATTCATCCTTCTCCTTGAGATGTGTTAAAAATCACTCCAGAAGTAGGGTGGCAGATCTGTTTGTAGAATGCAAGTAATGACCAGGGAATGAAACTGCCTGGAATTGTGTGTTTCTATGTAGAGATCTAGAGATAACTAGCTATATATTAAATAGACAATGAGAAGTCTTTAGTCACCCTGGCTTTATTAAAAGATATCACCAGCATTTTTGAAACTCCTAAGGAGTTGTAAGATTGTTCTCTTCCCCTCTGCTCAGGCTGTGTAAGTAGTGATAGTGACAAGTGAGTTGCTCAGCCTCTGTTAGTTAACTAGTCTTGTGTATGTCATGGTTTACAAAGCACAGTATGTGTGCTTTTGATCCAGGGTTCTGAGTTAGTCAAAAGCAGGTTAGTTAGATCCAGCATATGGTGTGTTGTGTTGATTTTTGACTTGTCTGTTAATAGAATGGCTATGAGGGAGAGGTTCTGAGAGAGTTAGAAGTATTTCTGAGAGCCAGTCACTATAGGCTGTGGTCTACATTAGTAAGTGTGGTATAACAGAAGTAGATTAGTAGAGTGAAACAGTTGTTGCTGAGGAGTTTGCTCACGCTGTTGTTGCGAATGAGTGGTTTAGAGGCCGCTTAAAGAATCACCGTCAAAGGTATTAACAGAAAGTGATTTTAATAGTAACTTATAAAAGCGCGACTTAACAGAGTTTGATGGCAAGGTTCGCTCTATTACTACATGGATAAAGTATGCAAAGTAAAATCATGTTATAATTGAGCTAGAATGACAGTGACTTACTTACAGATTATGCTTACTTACAATTACAGATTGTATTTATAGATTATGTGTGTGCGCACACACACACACAGAGACAGAAATATATATAAATGTACCAAAGGTACCTGTTAAAAATTCCCCTTGAGTTCAGTGAAGAAATAATCACGTCAAATGTCTTGGCATTTCTCAATGGGCGAGGGTTGAGCCTCAAGGAGTGAAGGGTTTCAGCCCAGGTCCTGTCGTCAGGTTTTGGCGACGGTCCTCCGAATATCACAGACTTGAGAGGTCGCGAGCTCTGAGAGGCGTCTCACTCAGAGGGAGATGCTGGGTGCAGCCTGCTGCGGTCCAGGAGAGCTCAAAGGGTCTCTGTTAGGACCACCATTTAAAGGGTCACAAGATGATTGGCTTTAGTCATCTGTAAATTTCCATCCTGGCCACAGTCCCAGTGGTAGTTACTAAAAAATTCTCAAGGTTTCAGTGTTGTTCCACTTGAGCTATGACTCGGATAAAGGTATCAGGGGATGACACCTGTGTCAGGCAGTAAAAGTATGTTCCCAGCCTCAGCTATGCAGTTTCTGATATGGTCAAGCAGTGTTCAACCGCCAGACTCGGTACACCAAGGCCAAGGTTTCACAGGAATTTCTGAGATCAACAAGCGGCCCAGGAGAAGCAGGGGATGAATGCACCACCACAACTAATATATTTAGGGTTTTTTCTTAGGACTAGCTGGAAACTGGTTTCATGGACCTGGTGGAGGGCATCTTTCAGGTTAGTTTCATTTGAGAAGAATGTAAGTGCTGCTCTCTGAGACTGTGTTGTGGTGTGAACCAGAGACCTCTAAGTGGGGACACAATTGAGAAAATGTCAAGTACACTTCTGATTCAAACATTACTCAACTTCTTTGGGTGCATCCACATTAAAGTAAGCAATTTACTTTATCCTGAATAAAAGTGCAGTTTAGCCTTGGAAAGGATTTTGGAAAATAAGTTTTGTAAGTTATCACGGTTTGTGGTTGGATTCAATGATATTCAGGGTCTTTTCCAACCTAAATGATTCTATGATTCTATGTAATTTTGTTAGTATACAGCACAACTTCCTTTCTTCTTTTTCCAATCTGTTCTCTAACACATTGAATTTAGAATTGGTGCTGCTTTTTGTCCATGTAAAAGTGGATATTCAGACTATTGTATTTTGTAGATGCATTATAGTTCAGGAGGGACATGCTGTGTTTGGCTTTAGCTTGTGAAATTGTGGAGAATTATTTTCTAAATAACTTGTTCTTGGTATGTGCAGTAATTATTTCAATTTTTAGCTATCAAAAAACTACTAGCTTATTGCTGTTCACACTGAATATCTGCCCAAAACAAATATTAGCTTTTGTTCTGTGCGGTATATAGCTTACTGTAACTAGATGATACCTTGTGCTGTAATTTGGTGCATGCAGTACGTGATAGAACTATAGTGATTGGGAATAATAAAATACCCGTTAACTTGTTAACATTAAAACTTCCTTGATCTTCTCTTTTCTCACTTTGGACACAAAGTAGCCAGGCAGCAGAACTCCTTATCTTGAGCTCTGTAATTGACTCTTTTTGAAAAGAGGGTAAATAATGACCTGTGTGTAATCAGATTGGACAATGTTGCGTATGAGACAGCTGTTGAAAGGTTGGTTGGTATATTTTTGACTTACCAGTTGAAATGGAGACTTGTGCATCATGCTAATTAGTACAAAGATTTAATCAGCATTACATAATAGTTGGTTCTCAGAAAAACAACTGGTAGTGCCCCAATTTTCATATGTATTTAGCTCTTTTTGCAGTTTTTGTGATTTTGACACGCACTTCTTAAAAAATTGTAGTTTTAACAGATGATTCAGATGAATCTTGAGTTTGGCATAAGAAGGCACCTGGAAATCCAGAGGGAAAGGAATTTGAAAACTTAAGTGCAATTTTATCTATTCAGAAATGTTTTGAGGGGTAGTGTTAATAAACATATAGCAGTACTTTGACCATATGAGAAAATAGGGTGAGTATATATTGGCAGTGGAGTAAATATTTATCAACAATATCCCATTGTTGATACTTGCTCCCTTCATTGTGCTAATACAACTGTTAGCAGTGCTGTATTATAAATAAGATCATTCCATGACCTGAATTAAAAATATGCAATAACAGATAGTTGCAAGCTGTGGGATGGGTACAGGCACAAGGAGGAAGAAAGAAAACTCTTGGTTGGTCTTTGCTACTAAAGCCAACAAGTTATGTGAACTATATATTGACCTGCATTATGCTCTAGCTCTGTAGAAATGATGTATTCTTCTCTACAAAAATCAAGGAGTTTTGAAGTGAGGGAGAAATAAAATAGTTATGCTTGTAAACATGAAAGATACAGCTGTCTCACCACTGGCAATATCTTAATATTCTTTAAGAGATCATACTGAATCATCAGTTGTGAGTAGTAGCACTGGTAAGTAATGTGTCTGTCTATATTGTTCAGTGCCGGTAACTGCAGAATTTGGACTCTAGTGTGCTTGAAGAATAAAAGTTCTAATTTTAAGTTATTTATCTGTCTTCATACAGTTGGTTGCAGATGCACAAAAATCATTCAGGGAAGAAAAAACCTTGGAAAATGGCAAAACTTCATTGAAACTGCGTCACCAGTAGCTGTATATTGTGTTAGCATGGAGACCCAATGGACATGTTACTCAGCTAACTTGTGGAACTTGAGTTATGGAAATCTGGAACTTTGCAAGAGGCTCATTATTAACACATTGCATCTCAATATAAGGCAATTTGAGAAGCATATAGATCATATCCGGTTACTGCAGAAGAATATTAGGGCGGTTATTGTGTAAGTGGACAGCAGGTTTAAAAGGAATTAGAGGAGTTCATGGGCAACAGGGTCCATATGTGATACTAAAATGATTAGCCATTGCATGTACATTAGGGCTGTACACTCTAACATTCTTGATAATGCGTTTATGGATCCTGGGGGTGGAATCAGAGATGTAGGCAACACAAATCATTCAGGTTTGTGTGTTGTCGTTAACTAACATCTATAACCACTCTAAGAGATGAAATACTGGGATGGATGGGCTGTTGGTCTCGCCAAGGAGAACCTTTCTCATTTTCTCATAATGTAAGTTGTTCTGGTAACTTCTCTTACTTGGGGAGTAGCAGAGTGTTGGCAAGTTCTCTTAGGTATGAAATAAGAGTAGAGTGAAAGCCAAATGAACTTCTAAGTGGAGAGGAGAAAAAAAAAAAAAGCCTCGTGAATAACCTAATACCATTTTGTGGAAACTAGCAGCAAGTCTTACATTCTTACCTCTGTAATGAGACTAAAACTACTGAAGCACAACTCTCTAATGTTGACTGTAAAGTGCTTGGGTTCAGCATCTTTATAAGAGCAAAAATGAGTCATTAAAGTAGCAGTAACTTTCTAAAAATTGAAAGCCTTTTTAAAGGAGGCTTGCCAAAAATGACCCTTCAGAAAGAACAGGCAAAAGGGGCAAAGCTCTTGCAGATAGCATGGAAATTGCTTAGGAATAGTGTATTATGGGCTCAGAATAAATATGGATATATCCATGACCTATCGAAACAGACTCAGAGCTTTTAAGCAACCAAAATTGACATGCTTAAACCACATGCTATAGGAAGACAGCCTTCAAAATGTAGAAGTAACATCCATATGTAGAAATTATAGTCATGATATTTGACATTTTTCTATGTAAAACCATAATAAAGCAGGCTTTGTAATGAAAAAGAATGAAGAAAATCTTAGCAGTGGATTAAAATGTCTTTTTATTTGTTCCAAGATCATTTTAAATATCTATAGAGTTAGGCTTCATGTTTATCACTCATTTTTTTTAAAGATCTGTGGAACTGAGGGGAGGTGAGAAATTGCATACCTTTAGCTTGATTTTTGAAATTAGTACATGGGTGGAAACTGTAACACAAAGTAAACAATGAATAAAATAATGGGGCAGAATCAATATATTGTTTGTAGATGAGTCATGCCTGTTGGTCAGATGGCATGGAGAGGATGATGCAGTTATTCTAGTGTAGTTAGACTTGAAAGGTTACTGCGAAGGTCTTACACAAAAAGATCTCAAAAAGCTGTCAATGGTGAGGTTCATCATAAATGAATTCTTGATTAAAATAAAACTTTCAACACAGGAGCAGTTTTCAAAATAGAAACAAGTTACCAAGGAAACCTTAAAGGAATTTCTGCAACTACCTCACCAATTTATCATGGTTTCCAGATTCTGAACAGTTTAAATAGTGAGGGGACAAACTTTACTTGCTAAAACCAAGTTAAAATACAGAATCTTCATACTCATTGGGTCATCTAACTTGGATGATAAAGTTGTGTGAGGTAATGCAGTCATGCACATGAAGGTGTGGCAGGGGAAAACCAGTAATTTGTTCTGCTCTGTAAGAAAGTGAACTAAGTGGATTTTTAGTAAGACTTTGTGCAGTTGTGATCTTCTAACTGATGATACCAAAGTGTCTTTTATTCTTTCTTCTGGTGTATATTAATCCTATTTATATGTACAGGTAAGTAGGCAAGACAAGGCCTATGTGTGGTGCAGTTTCATGGCACTAGATGTTGGCAATTTTCCAACAGAACTTTTATGTTTGACCTAGTACTCCAGTGATAGCAAGTCTTTCTTAGCTTGTGTAAGCTGATGTCGCGCACTCCCCGCCTCCTCCAGCCCAGAAGCTTAGCGTGGCAGTATTGTACTCTCGGGGACAAGGATCATTCCTTCAGACTTCACCACACCCATGTCGCCAGTGGACCTGTAAACTGCCTGCTGAGGATTTAAACTCTTCCAGCCTGGCACAGTCAGCTGATAAAATCTCTCTAATCTTGAAACTTAAAGTCCAATTCTAATGTTAAATTCCATTTGTTGTTAAGGAAGACAAGCAAGCTTGTTCAAACTAATTTGGGTGCTAGACACTAATTTTGTAGAGTGCTATAGTCTTAGGTGTAGGCAGTCTTAGGGTGTACCTTCTAGAGACTAAGCTGTCATTTGTTAGCCATGTTAATGTCCACAGGCCTAAAGTGAGGGTTACATTTCAATTTGGTTTTTTGCAATAGTGTATTTCAAAGGCTCCCTGGAGGTGATGAGGTATAGGCAGGATGATAAATAGATGATAGTGACTGCTGTTCATGAGCACTGTTCCTGGCTTGTTTTGGGGAACAACCTCGTGTATAAATATAATGGAACTTCAGGTTTGCATGAATAATATAATATCCAAACCTTAATATATTACTGGGATGATATTCCTATTGGTGTTAATGAAAACTCTGGCTTCAGGTAAGAAGAACCGACGAAACATATTAAGTTTTTCTTAATAGCAATTTAATAGTAACTCTGATAGGGGAATGAGAAGAGATAAAAGTAAGGACATGTTCCAGCAGAGCCCGGTCTGGCTTCATGACAATCCAAGCATGTGGCTTGTTGGTAGGGTTGCTGAAAAAAGTGAATGAAACTACATGATCTGAATGAAGCATTATGTTTTCTTCTGGCTTTAGAATTGTTTCATTTATCCAATCTGAAAAATTTTTTATAGCTCTGGGCGCTTAGCCTGGATATTTTGGACATTGACTGAATAGTTTTTGGTCCCATGGAAAGCTAAATGCTTGGAAGCATGTTTAAACCATAGAGTAAAAACAGTGGTCAGTTCTGCCTGTACATTGTGATTTGAATCTAGCTGTTTGTATCTCCAACATTCTGCCTCAGAGAACAGAATCGTAAGGTAGGTATCTACTAATTTTCTTCTAGAAGAATTTTGCCCATAGTATTTAACAGTTAATGATTATTGCTATTAAAATATAGTATTCTGTTTGGGATTTATTTCTATGGCATGCTCAGCCAGGAAGCTGGTGATCTTCAGTTATAAACTTTTCTGGTTTTGTTTGACTCTGTAATTTGCTGATTGGAATAATGATATTAATGTACTTTTACTAATCTCTTGCTTATAACGCTAGATGTTAAATTCAGTATGCACATGTTCTTGTCAGAAATTCGTCAGAGGACCACAGCTCAAAGAAATGCTTCTACGCCCCCACCTGCAACTCCTAAACAAGGGTCTCCAAAGTCACTTGTTCCAGCACCTCCTAATCTGCAGAGAGACACATCATCTCTAAGTGGACCCCCAGAAAGGACTGTTGTGCCATCCTTGCAGTCAAATGTTTTAGGAAGACGCCCTGGATCCCCTGCTACTTCAGTGCCTGGAATGGGTAAACAGAGCACTTAATGTTATTTACAGTTTATATTGTTTTCTCTGGTTACCAATAAAATAGGCCATTTTCAGACAGTATGGAAATGGCATTTCATTTGGAAATAGCAGAGCAGTTATCTGATTAAGCAGGAGTTCCATATTCAATTAGCCATAACTCTTTACAGCTGGCACCTTTTGATGCTGAAACCTATTGCCTGAGCTCATTTAACTGTTATGGCTTCTTTGTTTAAATGGCAATAAAACTTTGCAGTATTCTGTAGTCAACAATATAGCATACCTTTTTATGTTCTTAGTTTAGAAGAGCTCTACACTTATATAAATCAGGTACAGAGGAGAACACTTTCAGAATACATTCATGTTTCTCACTAAACCCTGCACATATTTTTTAACATGCATCTTGACATTTATTTAAATTTTTACTCTAGGAGGTATAGTCATGCAATCTATACTCATAGATTAAAGTGTAAAATACCAAATATACCAGAAAAGTTGTCTGTGTTGTAGCTGAATTCTTCTAAAATCACATTGTTACTTTGGTACAAGAGTTGAAAGTTTAGCAACAGGTTGGAATCTGGTAGAAATGAGTGCTCCTTAAAATTTGGTTTCATATCCTGAAAATGCTTTTCTCTTGATTTCTGGCTTGGTGTTCAGATGGGATGGACTTTATTAAATAGAACATGAACTAAATTCCATAGGAGGGATAGCAAAATTTGAGAGTTTTGGGGGTGAGGCGTTGTTCTCATTCTTCTCATGGATGGTAAAGCCGTGTATGGGTTAGTGCCAGGCCTTTCGTTTGTTGCAGGATGTCTGGCAAGTTGGATCACAAGGCAAGAAAGGAGATGAAGTGCTGTCTTGAAAATAGAAGGGATGCAACTTGCCAAGAATGTTCTTGAGCACCACTGTAATGTGGACTAGTTCTTTGCTCTTTATACAGTGATCAAGATTATTTTTCTCTGCCCTGTGTTCCTAACTTTTAATTTTAAGTTACTTAAGTCTTACAAACTGCATGTTCTTGCTTACTGACTTCCATGATACAGTCTAAAAGTAGGACTATACATAATATATTGACACCCGGTCTCTTAATGGAAGATACTGGGCAGCTGAATGCTAAAATGCCTGTTCATACAATTTAATGTAGTGGAATAAACTTGTCATGAAAAGTTGTGATCTCTCACTTCTCTGCAGAGCCCATTAAGCCTTTTTTTTTGTTAGTAATCGTTTACCTGTATTATGAAACTGCTAAATTTGTTTTTATCCCCGAAGTGAACGGTAAAGGCAAGTTATTAGCAAGTCTTGATTATCTTAAAGTACCAGAAATCAGCTCCTTGCACCAGGAAATTGGACATTTGGTTACAAACCACGTTTACTGAAACCTGTTTACTGAAAATTCCTTAATGAGTTTAAAATCGCATGCTCCTTGTTTAAGAAGCTGGCTATATAATAAAATATCAGCTATATAAAAGTTTTATTCTTAGGGGAAGATTCAGGCACATTGAATTTCATCCAACTTACTCAGCCTTTACTGCAGAAATGGTTTAGAGGAAGAAGGAAAAAAAATTAATGTAGTTGCTTGAAAGGACAGTTGCCAAGCCTGTTAATTAAAATATTTAATGTAGTTCTTGTGATAATGCTTTATAGGCACATTTTCCCCCCCCCCCCCACTAATAACTGGTATTTTGACCAAACCTGTTATTTTATCGTAGATAACAATGGAAGCCACTGCAATTGTCAGTTAATGTGGAAGCCCTGTTTTCTCTTAAATTTCCCCAAACCTTCCAGCTATATAAAATCTTAGTCATGTAGCTGTAGTGAAAAGTAGGTAAATTCAGTATCTATAAGAGTAATATCATTGCATATAAGTTTATGCATGGTTTGCAAATATGAATAGCCTTAATTATCTCTACTTTAGAGAAGATTAATAATTCATTTTCATTATACTATATTTTGTAGAGGAGAATCAATTTAACGTGTATTACCACAGAGCTCCCATATGTTTGAAAATTAATAACCAGCAGGTAGTTGAGAGTTTGCCAAGCTTTGCAGAAATGACCAGTCTTTCTACAATGATTGCTTTTGATGTTTATATTAATTACTGGTGTCCATAACAGCATGAGAACTAAGATGGTTGGTTTGAGTTATTAGTAGGCAGGTAATTGAAGTTGTTCTTGGAGCGTGTTGTGATGTTTCATTCTTTATTTAGTTTTTACCTTGTTTATTAACTTCTAGAAACTTTTCATATATTGGTGATATACAGGTCGTATGAAAACTTGGTCTATTGAATATAGGGCTAAATACATGTTTGAGTGTTAGCCAAGTATTCACAAAATTATTCTAGAGTTTTAATTTTATTGCAGATTGTATCAGTGCTCCAGATCTTTACTTCACACCTATGTGTGAAGTGACGTTGTCTGTTCACTTTTTTTTAATGGAATTATTGGGTCTTTCAGGTTTTTGTGAAGCTTTAGGAAATGCATATTGCCTGAACTCTTCGCTGGAAATCTTTTTCAGAATCTATAAAATGAAGCATTAGGTCCAGTTTATGTTGCATTGAATTTGTTCAGCCTTGCTGCTGTGAGGGTTTTCTGTCTGGGTTCCTGCTTGTTGACAGAATACAGGGATAACTTGGGCATGCATTCACTGATTGATATCTCCTGAATTCAGTTCCCTTGTTTGTGAAAATGAGGGTTATCTTAAAAACATTTCTGTTGAGCATGAAACTTTTTTGTGCTTATTGAAGGGTTGTAACTTGCAGTATTTTCTGATCAAATTTTATTGTGCTTGTAAAGATTAGGACAGTCCATTTAGGTCAATTATCCAGTATTGATGAAAGGTGTTTTGAAAGGCTGTGCTGTTAGAAATATTGCAACCTTAATGGCAAGATTAGTCTCATTCTGTGTGTAGCACTCTGAGAGGGCACTGCTGAAAATGTTTGATTCCTACAATGTTTCTGACGTTTGCCATAGAGGATGGCGGCTAGCTGTACATGGCATTTAGCTTGAGGTTTACCACAATGTAGCACATTCTGCCATAAGTTACTCTTTTTCCCTTGTTGCTCCAATCTGTGAAGGTTAAAAGGTAGAAGGCTTGAGATGGTGATTGCTGGCAGTTACATTTAATGCTGTATTTAATCTTAAAGCCTATCTTGGATCAGCTTATCAAATAGTAAGACTTGCTGTGTTGTCTTTGCCTGTGTATATTCTACTTAAGAGGTACATGTTACTTCTGTGCGTATGTTTATGAAAGAGTATCCGTTGTGTTGGAAGCTATGACTGTGCATGTCCTGGTGCTGTACCCAGCTAAGGTGCTACAAGAAAGCTAAATCTGTCCTCTGAGAAGCTTGAAGTCCACTGTTTTTTCCATGGTATCTTTCAATGAAGTGTCCTTCAGCTTGCTAACAAACTCTACTCTCTTGGTAGTCCTTTATTTGGATTTTTTTTAAAATCCTTTTTGCGTCTTCAGATAGTGGGTTTAGTCTGTTTTACCCTCTAGCTTCCTCTTTGTTTATTGGGCATTATGGGGGATTCTGTGAAACATATCTTCCCAAGAAAAATACTGGAAGCATACAGCAAACTGAAAAGAGAATTGAAGGCTGAATCTGTGGTCACTAAAAGCCTTTCTTTTAAGCCATGCCCCTTGTATATCTGTTTTTACTGGATATTGTAGCAAGAACAGCTACAAGTCAGAACTCTTCCCTGAGAGAACACTGGTCATTTTTTGCGCCTTGAGAATCTTACTTCTATGAATTAAATATACTTAGTTCTTGCATAGCTTCAGATTACCATATGCTCATCTCAGTACGAAACCTGCTAATATGAGTTGGATTTTTTCTGTCTAACCTTCATAACTATCTTGAGCTTGAATAGGACCTTTGCATTATTACAAGTAATTTTGTCATTGGGTTAAACTGAGTCTTATCTGTCAGTTTTCATAATTTTGTCTTCAGGTGGCTTGAAGCTGACCATTTCGTCCCAGTTTCAGAGTTCTGAAAGGACTGGTTCGTTGTCCTACTCAAACATCCTTTTTTGTGGCCTTTGAATGTAATTCATAAAGGTCTTAGGAAAATACATTTTAAGTCTTCCCCCCCCAAAGTGCTCATTTAATTATCTTGCATTCCAGACTATCTGTCTGGTATCTGTTTGTTGAAAGTTCTGTAACTTAATACCTCCTGTGCTTGTGCAAAATGTCTCTTGACCAGGCACGTGGCCTTGGGAAGGAGTTTAAGATACTTAGTTATTTGAATGGTCACATCTGAATGATTCAGACTTAGTTTATTACCAAATTGTGTTTTGCTTATTATGCCTAGCATCTTCTGTTTTAAGGCTGGAAGGGAAGGTAGACATAAGAACTCAAAGTTACATAAATGGAAATTGGCAGCTTGTAGTGGTCTTGTACAATAGACCAGATGTTTTAAAACTTTGTGGAAAGGCAAGTTTATGCCACTGGTCTACTTTAACTGCCATATGTAAACAGAGGTGAAAAAGGTGGTACCAGCTATTGCTGTTACCTATTCTTAATGGAGTTTTATTTTGATAGTAGTTTGTTAAACACATGGGATATGAAAAATGATATCTTAATAGAGGCCTTCTGGCTTCTTTGACTAAGCATAAATCTGAAAGTATCAAACATGGGATTACCAAAATGCCAAATGGCTAGACAAGTTTAACGTGTAGACTGAATGCATACTGAGGGCATGCTCTTGCGATATAGTAATTACACAGAAACCAGTGCGTGCTTCTTTAGTAACATCTTTAGTTCTGCTGTTTTAATTGATTTTATCAGATTTATTGGTGTGAACTTGAAGTGTTGAATATGCAGAGTTGAGAGTATATGAAGAAAACTCAAATAAGGAGTCTTTCTTTGCTTAAAAAGCCTCTATTTATGAGTAATCATTAAATACCTTAAGTGCCTTAAGTTCTTTAGAAACTATAAATTTAATTACGTATCCAAGGTGTAAAAGTAGAGTGATTTAGTAAGATTATAAGCTAAAGGAGCAGAAGAGGAACTTTCAACTACTGTGGGTTTACAAATCTTACAGCTTTCCTAGAGGACTAAGAAATATGGGCATGTATATTAGGTAGGTGCAATTATTTTATTACACTAGCACACACAGTGAAATATCAGATTACATATAATAATATAGTTGAAAATAATTTTTACATAGTTCATGTCTTCCTAGGTCTTCATCCTCCAGGCCCTCCTTTAGCAAGACCCATTCTTCCTCGAGAGAGAGGAGTTGTGGATAGAGTTATTGAATATTTGGTTGGTGATGGTCCTCAGAACAGGTAAAATGTGGCTAAAAGAAATACCTAAACACTTAAGAGATAGGAAGCTTCTTAACCTTTTTTTCTAAGCCAGATGCATCAAGAATTGCAAATTAATTTGTCTGAAATTTTCACAATGAAATGGCCCTTTCTCAGTGCTTCACCTGAAATCTCTTTGTAGAAAAAATGATAACATTTTGACAAAATTAACCTCTGCTTTAGTGGTATTAGCCATGTGATACAAAGAGAAAAATCTGTGCTCAAGTGGGTAAATGAATTATATTTTGAACTTAAAAAAAAAAATAAATTTGATTATCTTAGCACTTCAGCTTTATTACCATTACAAATGCTTTCAGATTGCCTTCAGAACTGTCCAAACATATCAGAACTTCATGTTAACCATGATCACTTTTCATATTGACTGTATTCTAATGAAATATAAACTTAATTTGGATGTTATTTTCTGACAATGATGATATTAAAAATATGTCAAACCATGAGGTTTAAATTGTAGCTAAGAATATTTTACTGTTTTTAAACCAACTTTAAAAACTATTATTTAATATACAGATTTGGTTTGCTTTAAAGGGTAATAATTTCACTGTGGAAATTACCTTCTAAGAGTAAATATCTAAGCTATTAGTCAATATCTAAGGTAAAATGCATCTCACTTCGGTGTGTTACTACTTAAAGGTATGTAATTACATATTATCCATGTTTTCTAGGTACGCCCTTATATGTCAGCAATGTTTTTCACACAATGGTATGGCTTTGAAGGAGGAGTTTGAATACATAGGTAAGAGCTAATCTGTGGTAGACTCTCTAGTAGTTGGCTTATGTTTCATAACTAACATGCATTATACTTCATTTTGGTTGCAGTTAAGTACTTAACTGGCACTGTGAAGTGCCACTTCATAAGGGAACAGTTTTATAGTAACTTATTACTCTGTACCTTAAGATTCACTTCAAGACTTAGAGAAGTACTTTATTGCAACCTTCAGGCCAAGGATTTTTATGTGTAGAAAACTATTCAGTAGAAATAAGCCTCCTCCAATACATCCCTGAGAATTACTACTGGCTATGAATGGTTCTCAGAAGGGTTTTATATTGAGAAACTATCTGACACTAAAGTGTGCCTCTTTTACCAGAACTTAAACAAAATTTTGCTTTGGCAAGAAGGTCTTGGGGAGGTATCGGAAAAGGAGTGGGAACAAGCCCTAGGGGGCTATATGTGAATTTATGGCTGACAATAACTTAAGACAGACACAGCTCTTTATTGAACACAGATGTTTTATTTTGCCTCCTTTCTACCACAAGTGTAAGCCTGATGCTTAAGAAATGAGGGAATCTTAGATAAATCATCTATTTCATTTTGTTTCGCTTAATTTTGTGAGTAAATATACAGCATTGTAAGAATAAGCTGAATGTTTCCTATGTAACCAAAGATATGTAGTCAATATGTCATCTTAGCTCAAGTGAGTTCACAATTCAACTGTGCAAGAAATTGCCGCTTCCCCCCTTGTCTTGCCGGGGCTGGGGGAAATATGCATTTAACTATTAAGTGGTACCCAGTACTTCTCCAGAGCAAACCTGCTTTTTCTTAATTAAGCAGAATGCTCCTCAAAAAGCAGAGTAAGACATACCTTGCAGAATCCATAGCATCCCTTTACTCGAAGGGTGAGGAAAGTGGCATCATAAGGGAAAAAAAAATAATCTGCCAACTTAATTCTTTTGTAGGAAAGAATAGAAGAACACCATGTGGCAACATCTTGTGGTACTGAATTGCATTATTTTGTTCATTGTGGTCAAATCTTTCACAGTGGTGGGCAGTACTCATAAGTGCAGCAGAGCTGAAAGCAAACAGGTTTTTAAGAAGCAAACATGCTGAAGTTAAAAATGGAGCTATATGGAACAGCTTGTGTAAATTTGATGGAGGTACTCTCAGGTACTGATAGTCACTTACTTAATTCTCTGTTTTTAGTATTTTGGACAGTCAGAATATAGTGTAGGAATAAAGGTGAAACGTGAAATTAATTAGTGAGGCTACTTATTGAGTGTGCTTTTGTGTAGCATTTAGGTGTGCCTACTGCTTTTTCCTGAATCCTGCAAGAAAAACTAGACCTCAGGCTCCACGACTTCCAGAGTTCAGTTTTGAAAAAAAGCAATCTACAGAATTGCGATCTGAAACTGCGCCTCTAGAACCTAGAGAGAGAAAGCCCCGGGAGACTCAACAAACGGAAGGTATGTGCTAATCTCATGAAGTCTGCTCTTTTTTTTTAAGCTCTAATGAAATCCCCCCTGTCATCTAGCTCTCTGTCTGGATGAGTTTTTTTATAAGAATAAGAACAACTGAAGAACTCAAACACTGAAACAGGCTTGCTAACAAGGTGGTCGATCCCCAAGCCTGTCAGTGTTTGAGGCATTTGGACAATGCCCTTAAGAACATGCTTTAACTTTTGGTCAGTCCTGAAGTGGTCAGGCAGTTGGACTAGATGATTGTTGTTCGTCCCTTCCAACTGAAATAGCCTGTTCTATTCCAACTTCATAGTGGGTGCAGCTTATAATTTTTTTCAATTCTTCTTGTCCCTGCTTCTAGCTTAGTGTGTTGATACTATTGTCTTCTGTTCTGTACCCTAAAATTTCTTCATATTAGGCAATATGTCTCATGCAAATCATGGCATAACAAAATTTTTTACTCTAATGTTACTGATAAAAAGATAGAAAATACCACTGTAAATTACAGGAATAGTTAAGAAGGGAGTATATCCTGAAGTGGTTAACTTTC